CTTCAGATGTCCATTGACATTTTGGAGATTTCCATTGAGATTGGATGCCTTTTGATGGAGATTTCCATTAAACATGTGAAGATTTCCATTGAGATTTGATGCTTTTGGAGGCTTTTGGATGGAGATTTCTATTTAAACTTTGTAGATTTCCATTGAGGTTTGATGCTTTAGGAGGCTTTTGGATGGAGATTTCTATTAAGCAGTTGAAGATGTCCATTGAGATTTGATGCTTTTGGAGGCTTTTGGATAGAGATTTCTATTAAACAGTTGAAGATTTCCATTGAGATTTGATGCCTTTGGATGGAGATTTCTATTAAACAGTTGAAGATTTCCATTGAGATTGGATGCTTTTGAAGGTCTTTGGATTTAGATGTCCATTAAAATATTGAGAATTCCATTTCCACTTTATTGATTTCCTTTTACTTTAGTATTCCAAATTTGAGATTTCATTGATTCCCTTTTAATTTAATATTGCCAGAGAAGGCCAAGAAGATTTTAATAATGAATCATTTCATTTTGGTCCTTTGATTGGTTTTCTAGTAGATTATATTGGAGGCCCTGGTTGTTGAGGGGGGGGGGGGGGGCGGGGGGGGGTTGATTAATCAAGAGTCAACATTACATTGAAGAAACACAGTGGAAATCAAAATTGAAAAATAAAATAAATTAATAAAGGGCAAAGTTACCACCTGGGTCCGGCCTGTTGTGAATCGGGTCACGGTGTGCAAGGTCCATGTAACAGTAATCACACCCGTACGCCACAATGACCAGAGGCTCCTTCTCAACAAACTCCCAGTTCACTAGCTCGACGTTAATGTCCGACGCGTTGTACGACCTGGGTCCCTGATCGTTGTAGGTCCGACCTCGTCCTTGCCATTGCCTCTGCGGCGGCATTGGTCCGACCGGCTCCTGAATTGGCCGCCCCCTGTACGGGCTCTGGCCCAAGCCCTCGTCCGGGTCGAAGGCAAAGAGGTCTCCCTCCCAGGCCATGCACTGTCCGACCCGCAGAGTGAGATGTCCGACCCAAAAAAATCTGTGAAGTGGTGAATAAATAGATTAGATTGGGTGACATTAATTCAATTAAATCTTTGACTAAGTAAACACGCGGGGGCTCACCCGGAAACTATAAACAAAATAACATGTGAAAATTATGTGTTGAAGCTGTGACTGCTGTTGGAATGTGGAGTTGTGGATTGGAATTAAGAACATGCATAGCTGTCTTTATCCTTTTCCTGAGCCAACAAATTTTCAAGATGCAACAATGAAACACACGCTTTGTCGGACGATCGAGAGTTATTACGACTCGGCAAACACGCCAGTGTCACCTTGAAGACCATGTCGTTGGAAGCAGGCAGGCCGTCGATGAAGATGAAGTCCGGCCAGAAATGTCCGACCCAGCCCAACCCAGTCCGACCCAACCCAACCCAGCCCGACCAAAGGATCCAAGGTTTACCTGTAAATACTTAGAGAAACTCCTAGTGTTGGACCAATGACTGCACATTTTACACTGGTTCAAACAAGCAAATCATACCAAGTGGACAAATCACAATCAACAGCTTTGGCAAGCAGTCATCCTTTCAGTCATACCACTAATAATTAGGTGCCCTTTGAGTGGGCTGGTTATTTCTGGAGATATCATCTTACAAGGTTTGAAGCACTTTGCATGCAGTTGGAACACACAAAACACATGGCACACTATTGAAAGCAACAATGGAGGAAAGCCAGCAGGCAGCAGCTGTATTCCAATTGAATTGTTACACTACCCCAAGTGTCACACTCTGTTAGTGGCTTGATACCCACCATCTTAATTTTATTTTTACTAATTAGGGATTTGTTTTGATTGTTTGGTTCATCAACACAAGCCAACAGCTCTTTTCCCAGCTTTGTAGAACGTTGATATCAAATCTCAAGACACTTGGACTTCCAACTTAATGGCTTGTTTATGATAAAAATCAACTCCCACCACTTTAAGGATTTCTCTGGGCCTGCAAATCATACTACCCAAAATGAAACCCTTGGATTGAGACCAGGATAGAAAGACTGCTGGCACGTCCAATTGCAGCACTAAGTATACTCAGCTGAGTTGAGGTATGGAATCAACAACTGAAAAGTACATCACAACCCGGGTGATTATTGTTCATTGAAATACTGTTTTTGACAAGTTCTTGACAGACAAGGTCTATCAGATACTTTTATCTGAGTGAAACCATTTTTTTACATACTGACATATACAGACTGTTATGCAAAATGATGTTGATCAAAATCATGTAGAATTCCTACCTCTTCCCTGCTCCTACCTCTTCCCTGCTAATCGTCCCGTCTGATTTCACCCTCACACACACACTCTCACCCACACTCACTCTTACTCACACTCACTCTCACTCGCACCACTCAGTCTCCCACTCTCCTAGTAGCTAGAAGCTACTAGTAACACCCAATTCCAGCAATCCCAGACTGTTATAGCTGAGGTCGTTGTGTTCGGTGTGGCGCTGGGGTTCGACCCAGGTCGGGGGCTGGAAGTTCAGAGTTCACAGCCGAGGTGACTTGATCCATATTCCCCTCTGAACGATGCATCTGGTGTGGACACGCCGGGCACGCCGCACGCCCGACATCTGGCGTTGGAATCGAAGAAAGCCACATGTTTTTCCGGATCTGAAGAAGTCTGACCCAATGCCCAAGGCGCGGCCAGAAAGCTCGACTCACAAAAGCCAAACATCACATGATACAGTACAAACTCTAAAACATTCAAAGACTCAGATTGCATGCTTTCTCCGGGCGCAGTCACGCCCCGAATGCTGCAGAGGACTGGAGAAGTTTCCGGCGAGTGGCATGGTGTGGAAAAGGTACAAGGCCTCTGACCATTGCAAGGCACTGATGGTGGTGGTATAGCTCACCTGAAAGCTGCACAACACACTCCAAGCTGCACCAAGCTGCACCCGGTGACCGACCAAGAAACCCTTTCTACAATTATAGAACCTCTTCTTGGGCAGAAATTTCGGCGGATTTTGGGTAAGAGGACCTTTGTTCGTGCATAGGCGTTCTTGTCCCCCTGTGTAGGCGTTCTTCTCCTTTTGGAGGCGCTCAAAACTGGTTCCAGGGGGGTGCAAGTACATTGTTATATGAGGAATTCACTTGATGCATCACTTACATTTTTGCATTTTTTTGTCACCTGTCTTGAAGGTGACCTTTATACTCCTTTTTATAGCCTGCTTTGAGGTCACTTGGGTTGTAAAAGGTCGCTTAGGGACTGCAAAAACGTCACTTTCCAGAAGCTGTAACTGTACGTTATTAGATTTACATTATTAGTGTTTTCGGTGTCATTGCTATAACAATATCTCTTTGTACAGGCACTCTTCCCGTCACTTACGTGGCAGGATCCTTAGACGTTCTTACCCGTTCCACCCTCATTATGTATAATCAGTGGCTTGGCCAAAGAAGGAATGGTTTCCTTTTTGTCGGGAATCAGTGACGTGAATGTCAAATGCTTTAAACCGGGGACTAGCGTCAGGTAGCAAGCGTTTGTATCTAAATCGTGTTTTCATCGAATTTCTGGTTCTGCCTCCTCCTGTTGGTAAGAATGAGTCTGCCTCGGCGTTTCTGACCCAAGGCTGCAGCTGATGTCTTGATGAAAAGGAGCAGAAAGGGAATCCTGCCTAAATGTAGTTCGGCAGAACTTCTTTTTCACCACGTCTAGGCCATCAGTATCGTCACCAGGTATGTCTAGGTCATCAGTGTCCCCAAATTGCCTGAAGTCATCCGACCGAAGTCCCCACTGGGTCGACTCCAAAGCTCAACGGTGTGGGGTTGGGCAGTGTGGGTTTCAGCTGTGATCATGCGACATGGTTGAGACTTCAAAGCCGGAGGTGGCTATAGTATGTAAGGCAATGTAAGGAAAAGTGGTTAAGGGATGAACAATGATGAAAGTGTTGCAGTTACAAAAATCAAACATCAATGTGGGTCTGTCAGTCATAAGGAAACTAATTTGGCTCATTCGTACATGTTCGTTCTGCTGACAAATTCAAAACTTAGAATGCGCTTCCCAAACACACAGTGAGTTGCCAATGGATTAGGAAGATATGGCACGATGCATCACTTTATCGTCAGTCAGAGTCGAACGCCGAGGAGATGGCAGGACATGCCTGTTCAGGACGTGCATCAACCCTCAGGAGAAAAACAAACAGTAATTATGGGGTGCTATGAGTCAAAACACGTGAAACAATTATATAGTGTTGTCCCAGCAAAATCGACCACCAGGTGGTCAAGCTACATACTTGACAAAGGTTCCGAAAAGCATCGACCCAAAGCATCTCGCAGCCTGGCTATGACCGAATGACCCAAATCCTTTGGATTCGCTTTTTGCGTCCGCCCTTTTTCTTCGCTGTGTCGTTGTAAGATGTTGTAAGCAATTCCAAGCTTCTCAGCCAGTCCAGGACATGAACGTCACTGAAGATCTGTCCGGATTCCTTCAGAGCACTTCTGTCCGCATCTGCCATCGAATGGCACGGCGAATCTCGCCGCCAGAACGAATTCCACAGCTTCCACTCTGCATGTGCAGCACTTGGAGGAAGCTTCATGAGTTTCTCGCAGGACTAGTCTTGATGGACCTGGATGGTCCTTCTATACTGATCCAACTAGCTTGAAGGTCTAAAACCCTGGACACAACCTGTTGACTTTGGAAGATCTTGATCCTACTTGACCTTCATCCGCTTGGCCCAAGCTGCTCAACTGGGTCGGGTCGGATCCGGTCGGTCCGGACCCTGCGGGGTTCGACTGAGACCGTTGACCCGTTGACTCGAATGAAACCGTCAACCCAGCCACCCGCAGAGTTAGATGGGCTAGTGGTTTTGTGGGCTTGAGGTTCTGTATTTGAAGGCTTTCTAGTTTGGATGAATCCTGGTGTCTCACCTGCCTATCCAGGACCCCTAGAACTTGTGATGAATCTTCCTGGAGAGGAAAGCCCAGGATAGATCCCCGAGAAACAAATTGCTTTCACCTGGTTGGAAGGGGGGAGTACCCTGGGTTTCCCTCTCCAGGAAGTCTGTCATAGTCTGTTGCCTAGTCCCGCAGGACGGAGAGTGCCAAGGCCCATAAAAGCTTCAAGGCCCGCAGCAATTGGAGGACAGGCATCGGCTTACAGATCGTGGCCACACTCCCCATGAGCCGACTGGTCGTGGTAGCATTGCCACCCGAAATCAGCTGGCAGGTCTTGGTCTGGGCCACATGCATACCTAAGTCGGAGCTCGAAGACTCCACAAACATGGAGTCTCTTCAATCTGATTCACAGCTTTTGTGGATTGTTAAACCTTCCATGACCTTCCGATTCTTTATGAGCTCTGGAGTATGAAACTTCACCTACTGAGGATGAGATCTGATCTGCAACTCAGGTACAGCAGAAGGTGGGTGCATCGATGATCTGCGCGTTGCCTCGGAGATCGAACTAGGCCAACGACAACCCGGGGGATTGTTTAGAAGGATCCAGTTCCGCGGGTCTAGAAAAACACATCATGTGGATCCAGGGTTTGCATAACACGTTGGTCCTCGTTTGCTTAATAGATCTATATAGATGACAACAATCATTGAAACACATCCACCGAACTGCCGCGTTCCCGGAAGATCCCCTTCCCCTGAACACTGCCGGGTCCGTCTTGTCCGAAACTGCGGTCGGCGGACAGTTCAACCGGCAGAGATCGAAGAGGGGCACTCTCTTCCATGTCTTCTTCTTCGCATTCGTGGGAACCACACATTGGGCGTGAGAACGAGGAGGGAGGCAAAGATTCTTGAAGGCATCGCCCTTGACCAGGAAGCGAGCAGTAGCCAAGCTCAATTGCTTCATGTTGTCATCCTTATGACCTCAGTGCTGAGTCGGCCATGCTCAAAAAGTGGGCAGGCAGCTGCGCAAGCAGTTTGTTGAATCTCTTAAGTATATCAAGCACAGATGAAACAAAACTGCGGATTCTGCAAGTTTGAAGAACCAGTCCACCGGCTTGATGACAACCAGGACTCATCAACAGTCTTCAAGATAGATTTGCCTAGTCTGACCACAAGACTTTCCCATAATCAGAAGGGCATTACGGGCATTGCCACGCCAAATGCCGACAACTACCCAGCTACCTGTCCTGATCACCCCTGAAACCTCTTCTTCTGCTACTTCCTCCCTGAAACATTCATAAGTGGAAAATGACCCTGAAAACAACAAAAACCATTTCCTTTGCACACAGGGGATTGTCCACTTCCATGTTTGTTGGAGGTTAAATAAATAGACAAACGTCTTCGAAGGACACCTGAGCGACTCACATTGAAGAACCCGCACTTCTCCATCTCCTCCACGGCAGAGCGCACCTTTGTCAGATCCTTCCGCACGTTCCGCGTGAACTCGTGGATGGCCAAGGCCACCTTTGCAGAAAACTGGTGCAATGAGGTACCTTTGAGGGGAATCATAGAGAGGCATAATATGAATTAATATATAATATAATATATATAGACAGAACGATATACATGGTGTACATATGGTATAATCGAAGGGTAAATTTGGCCGGTCAAAGTATCTGAATAAATCCGCGGGTTCCAGGGATGGCTTCAGCTGAGAGGACTCACCTGCTGCTTCAGCTATTTTGGAATATCTCGGACTGGTGATGATTAGTGGTGCCAGGGTCCAGACTGGCGATTCAATGATTCCCAGAAGCTTGTGGGAATGACAGGTGCTACTTGGATGGGTCCTGCGGGCGGGAGTAGAGAAGTCCAGTCTTCCCGTCACGAGGATTATTCTGAATGGCCCGGTATACCAAGCTCTTGCAGGAGCAATGACACCAAAAATGGTTCCTCTACAAACAATACCCAAACTCCTCCAAGTGACATACAAATCTTCTGACACTAGTATTTTGGACACGTTCTATAATGTCTACCTAAGATCAACTAACCTCCCCCTATTACCCCTTACACAGGCCTCGCAATTCACCCAGAATCCTAGCAATCATCATCCATCATCAGGTCATCACCTTAATTAGAGGGATCTGGTCTCCAAAACCTCCAACCTCAAACCTTGTTGACCTTGTTGATCTTGAAGGGGGGCCGTTGATTAAGTTTCAAGACTTTTCGTCGTTGTTCGTCATTCATATCAACTAAAAACAAAAAAATACTACATGTATATAAGTGCTGCACCCACCCCTCCACTCATCCTCCCTCAAACCCCGAACCCTCAAAGCTCCATCTGCGCACCTGCGCAGTGCTCAACGCCCTCCACGTGGCCCGCAGCAGGCGTCGCAGCAGCTGGTGCTGCTCGGGTGGACGGCAGCGCACCACGGCCGAGGCGTTGACATCGAAGAAGCCGAAACGCTTCAGCTGCAGTTGGAGCTGAGCGCCCACCGGAGCGGATTGGACCACCTCAGGACAGATTTGGAGACCGGGGTGCACCTGAGCGTGTCTAAGAGTTTGATTGGTTCTGGAGATCAGCAGGGCGTTCTGGGGATGATTGCTGCAAACAGCGCTGCAGTCTCGCTCCCTGGAACTCAGTAAGACCTCTGGGGCGCCTAAACGCATAGGTTGAAACGAGCCGAAATATGGCGGCCACCAAGGGTTATAAAGTAGTTCTGGGGCCGTGTTTAACTGAGGTGAACATAGCGAACATACTGTAACCCGTCCAAACATGTCTTTCCAACATGTATGGAAGAGTCACTTGTTCTCTTGTGAACCCAATGCAAAATAATGCAAAATAGCATGTGTTTAACGTGCATCAAATGTCGTGTAGCTCTCGCCGCCTCATAGACATCTGCCACACTCTCCACAGGCTTTCCCTGGATGCTCTTCACCTCATCCAACCACCAAAGCTCTTGTCCACGCCAGGACCAAGGCAGCGGCCGTCCCGGCCACCAAAGACGTGCGCCAGAGGCCGAGACGCCCAGCTGGGCATTGCGAAAAGAGGGGAAGATCCTGCAACCAGGCGAGAATGAGGTGCGTGGATGTGCCAAAAAATTGCCGTGGCAAATGGGTTCAACCGGCGCGCACGGCGAGATGGAGCTCAGAATCGTTCTTTTTCTTCGGGGTGGGAGACTGGTCGATGTGTTGAAAGTAGCAACTGCAAAAAAAACGAGTGGATGATTGATCCTTCAATCAACGGCAACATCGAAACAAAGCTTTCGTCAACCATGGCTTGTCCATGGCTTGATATTGATCCAGTCAAGCTCACCCGTATTTCGACCAAGTCTCAGCTTAGCTGGGCCCAGGTGTTCCTCCACACCGATGGTGGGTGCACTCACGCCACCACTTCCCTGCAGGAGCTCTGGAAGCAGCTGATGCAACGTGCTCGCGCTGACGGCCGCGGTCAGCAAAGGAGTGCTCTGGAACCTCGAGTTTCTCAAGCCAACTCGAGCGAAGTGTTCAGTGTAATTTGATGCAATCATTGAATCATGATCATGACATCTACTCGATCTACGGTGTACCAGGACAAAAGGTGCGAATCCTCTGGTGCAGATTGAAATGAAAACCGCCCGAGCTTAGCGTCAGACCTTGTACTGACTGAGCTTGCGTTCCAGCGTTGCACACCAGTCCAACACCGCCAATATTGTGCAACAAATCCCTTGCAAAAAAGTCTTAAAACATCTCACCAGTCCAAACCACCAGGGTCGTTTGTTTGGTTTCCTGAGAGGGACGAGTTCACCAGGAGAACAGCCTGTGAAACCTAATAAACGACCCGATTAGGGTCGTTTCTTGCAGACACCACTGTGAGTCACCCGGAAAGTCCGTCGAAGGAACAATCATGGATGGTTGATCTATCCCCTCAAATCTTGCGGTTAATCTACACTACGACTCACTAACACGGAAGAGGAACACCCCCCTGTTCGTAAAGGAATAATAGTCTTCCAAAAGGCCATGCCATCGACTTGCCTGGAACGTGTCAGTCAGAGTGTAGCTCCAAAAGTCTATGCCCCCACCTCCGTTTCTCTGTTTCATATCCATCCCCACGGCTGAGCTAACACCAACGCCAAAACAACAAACGCTAGTGATGGGTTATTGTAGGAACTCTCCCAACTATCCAACAGTCTTCTTAACTGATCAAAATCTAGAGTGTGTCCACATGTTCACGCGGGTTCAGTCAAACCATGATTCCACCAGTGCCAGGCCATGTTCATTCAATCAAAACAACATCCAACCAATCCAACCTGTCTCAGATTGTACCTCTTACACATTGCCTGTTTGCACCAAATTCACGCAACATCTCACAGTCTGAGATACCAAACTATGGCATTCAAACACAACACCACCCACAAATTGCAAAGTATGAAAAAATACAACGTCACAACATTGCAACGTTCCTCGGATTTTTTTTCACCAACATTCCCAACATGGTTTCCTTTGCAATCATCCCCAACGTCTCCCCTCCTAGAACTGGACCCCGAACATCCTCCCAGTCACTGCCATGTGGTGATGCCCACCACTTCACCTCTTCCATTGATCAACGGCCCTCCACTGCTGCCACGCCCGGCAGGCACCGAGGCGAAGACCATGCCGTTCACCGCGCAGAAGCGCTGAAACTCCGACAGCGCCTCCCACCTGCACCCGAAGAGCCGGGTGGCGCGAGCCGGTCATGGGATGAACTTGACGTTTATATAAGCCAGCTTATGTTGATGCAGTCTCAAAAAAACACACCACACCATATTATGTATTTATAGAGAACGTGTTTATTTTTTTACATTGACATAAATGCCCCGTCACTCCAAGTCTAGAGTCTACAGTAGGAAGAACTTTGTCGATTCATATTGCGAGGCTGTGTCCATATCAAAAAGCCTGTATGGCCCCAAAACCATTCCAAAGCTTTTCTAGCCATGAGACACATGCTCAAGGTGGAGCGAGAGGAGCCCACTGGCTGTGTGGATCTACACCATGGGGAAGGTGTCAGCCCTTGGATCTTATCGGAATTATCGGAAAGAATCCAAATCACAACGTGCTATAATACGTAATGTTTCTAAATGGCATGTTTGGTTGATCCTATTCCCCTGAGAGGTTGATAAGACATGTGCTATTTTTGGACCATCATCTAGCGGACACAAGCTGGACCTCAGGGATGTCTCTTGGATTTGGTGATTTGGTCAGTTTCAGAGCTCGGTTCCGGAGGCTTTTCTCGCCTTCGACACCCTCGTGTTCGGATGGTTCGGCTTTCCAAGGCGAACGAGGACCGGAAAGAATGCAACAAGGAAGAGGGTCTTTATGTGGGTGGGAAAGACTGACGGGATCCTCGGGAATATATATATATATAGAAATAATATATATATATATTAGTTGCGTGTGGATATTAATCTGCCCAACGTGAAGTGTAGGTAGACTATCCTCTCCCTCGTAGACAGCGATGGCGCGCACTTGTTTTCCGCTTGCTCTACGGGAGTCTTGAGGCAAATATAGGCGTGACACGCTATAGTATTCTGTACATGCATACGGTATGCTATCGTTCCAACTATTGAAATTCAAGGGTAGTGGACTAGATACAGTGGTTCGCTATGATTCGCCGCGAGACCTATCAAAATAGATTCTGACTACACTGCACTGTTGAAACTAAGCGGGCTTTTACATATAGAGCGTGCAATTCGACCTATTGGCTATACAAGTTAATTGGTGAAAACTGACAGTGAAAGATGCCTCGCTCAGAGTCCACTCAGTAGATCTTCGCCATGATATAGATCGAGCTTTGCAGCTTTTCAACTGTAGAAAGTTCACTTGCAGATACTCTTACCACTGTTCAAGAGTCATGCGTCGTGCGCTGATCTTGTTCAACAGAGGTTCATACGCAGTGCGCTGAACTTGCGTGACAAGGAGTCACACGCAGTGCGTTGACCTTGATTTAGCTTCTGGTATCCTTTTCTTCATTGTAATCTTCTTCTTCTCTTGCTCCTTGGTCGCGTTCCCATTCGTACCAATCTTGGCGAGCTTCTCTGATGCGGAGATTGTTCCAATGGTCGTCGTGGCGTTCCAGCTGCGATGATTCCAATGTCGTTGAGATAGATGATTCCATCGCCTGCAGTGCCCTTTGACATGTGATCCATTGAAGGGTCACCTACTGGTACGTGTTCATCTCTCACAACGCTTGGAGGTTCTTTTGCTTTCGGTGGAGCGGCCGGGGTCTTCTTTGAATCATCATCGGGTTTGGGATCGTCATCCCCATCTCCTTCGTCACCAAAGTCTATCGGTTGATCACCATCGGTCATCGGGCTCATCGCCAATAGCTCTTTTCGCAATCTCTTCATGGTCCAGTGCTCCTGGTTCTGAAGGTAAATATTCGTCTTCATCATATTCGATCTCTTTCCTGGGATCATCGACTTCGGGTTCTCCGTCTCGTAGCTCACGGATCTTCATTCCTTTGACGGAATTGTTGATCCTCTCATACTCTTCTTTGAGCGGGAACTCGATTGGGTTCATGAATGCGATGGTTTCGGTGAGCTAAGGTTTGCCAACTTCCTGATGGGACGTCGCGCGTCGAATGCTAGACTTTGATTGGTGAAGGTCTCTAAACTCCATACTCGATATTGTCTTGACGAATTCATGCCTGGTTTCACTTCATACCCTGCGAATACTCCTGGAATACCCTTAGGATCAAACTTGTGTTTCTGAAGTACTCTTCCTGGGCTGCTTGGCATGAAACAGACCTTGGCGCCAAATGGAATCTCTTTTCACTATGAAATTCTTTTCCACGTAGTTTGAACCCTTTTCATCCTCTCCACATTCAATGTTCAACAGGTGGCTGGCACACTCCACAGCATGATTCCAAAAGCAAGGTGGAAGTCCCGCTTCCAGCAAGCATGTGGTCGTGGTCATCATGATGAATTGGCTATTCCTCTCTGCCAATGAATTGTTCTGTGGATGGTGCGGTAGTGAGTGATCAAATGGAATCTTCAATTTCTTCATTTTGCCACTTCAAATTCAGGAGCCTTGTCTGCATACGCAATCTTGATCTTTCGGAGCCCTTTGAAGTGATTGACCGCATTGATCACATCCGCCGTGAACTTTTCCATTGACGGATATGCCCAAATGATTCCTGTGTATCGGTCTCTGATCACGAAGATTTCCCTGTCGGTGTGAATGCCTTGATCCATAATCCTCTGAGTATCGATGAAACCAAAGGTGACTAAATCTCCAAATGCTTTGAGTGTCCTCTTGAAAGCTCCTCTGCGCGTCTTGTATAGTGCCTCATCTTGGTACATGATTCACAATATGGATTCTTGTACCTACGAGTAAAGAGGTGTTGCGTGGCCCTGGCTTCTGCCTTGAGTGTTTCCCTTCTCATCATTCTGCTGGCACCATCAACGACATCAACCTCAAGGTCATCTGCATCATCTTCATCGACTACCTCATCAGGTTCCTTAGGGTCCTGGTGATCCATATCTGTCTTCTCCTGGAGAGGCCTGATTCTTCTTCTTCCTCCTTTTCCGTCTTACCTTGTTTCGTGGGATGTAGGAGTGATCGTCGAGGTCGCAGTTGGATCCTTGAGGGTCTACTTCATGGCCAATGGCTTCAGGTTGATAACTTACAACAAGGTGATCAAATCTGGATATACTTTCTGTTTGTTCATCGATCGTCGGCGAGCAGAAGTCACTGCCCTTGACGATGTAAGGTATGTTGCCTTCGACCTCAAGTAGAATTTTCTTGTTGTCTAGAGAGATCATGTATGGCACACCATTTGCCGGCCATACGAAGGAATATCCATCTTGCATGCACTTCTTGCCCACAGACAGTACTGAGGGTGATTCATCAAATACATAAGGAGTGTGAGTAGACTCAAATTCATCGAAGTGGACCTTTGCAACATCATTGGCGCTTGTCACACCGTTCGCTGAAAAAGAACGACATGGGATGAACACTCTTCTCAACATCGAGACCCAGCTTCTTGGCTCTGTTCTTCGATATGAGATCGTGTCCGCATCCCGTGTCCATGATGAACTTTGCTCTTGACCCTTTGCAGGTACTGACAATGCTTTGCACTTCACCTTTGGTCCCGTGCTTGCCACAGACGTGAGGGATGAGCTTGTGATTGAATGCTGGTCATTCTTCTTCATCGAACCTCATCGTGATGGCAATGTCACCGTTCGGACCGACCGGAATGTGAACCTCTTTGATACTGGTATAAGGTGTCATAAGGATAGCTCTTGCTTCAGCGACTTTTGCATCAAGGCGGCTGGCTCTGTTCACGGTGGGAATGGTTAATTAACCTTCCCCGTCTCATATCTCTTGATATCTGGTCTCAGTGGTTTCTTGATCACGGCTTTCCATACACCCCTGATGGAGTAGGCAGCTTCTAAACAGGAAAACCATTGTTTAACACATCTTTCTAGTTTGAGTACACCGTCTCATGGCACGCCGTAACATGAAAGCACCTGCCCATTCTGTGAACAAGGGTGAACCAAAGCCTCTAGCTACTCACCTAGGGAATCTCCACTGGCCCACAAGTTCCAACCACCAAAGCCAACACAAGCGACAACTTTCTTCACTCACAGATCGCCTTAAGCGAATCCAACGCCTCCAACGCCTGGTGTCCACAGTCTGACGGGACCTTGCTGCCTTCGCAGCAAACGATCCCCTCTGGTCATTGGTGGTCCAGTTGGACTCCAAAGAGGAGCAACTCCCGAGCTAGGCAGGAAAGGTCTCAAGTGGCCTTTTGGCCTGTAGGACAGCTCACGCAAAAAATCGGCTCAAAGCGATTGCCCTGCGTCGCCTCAACGAGGCTCATAATATTTCATTCCTGCCAGCAGGAATGAAAGAGAAAAAACTTGCAGAGCTAGATTGAGATCTGTCTTGCTAGTGGAAGTTCGCTGCAGCTAGCCAACCAGTCGAGGAATCTTCCTACGTCCCAAGTCCTACTGCGCCCTTGTGCCAAAACAATCACAGTCACCGCCAGGACCGGATCTCCTCGGCCCTGCAATTTTCTGCGCTCGCCTGGGCTGATGGGATAGGAACGAAACCAATGAAGTCCACATGCTGATACAGAAAGCATGCCGGCGCTAGGGATGCACACACATGCGCTGCGCAATGAAAGCATACGTGTAGAGCTGGCGGTTTTCTAGATCATGAAGGCGTGATGGTCGTGGCTCAAAACATGCAAAGATACCAATGACGGTGCCCTGGCCATGATGACTGCGATCATGAAGAAGGTGATGGTTAAAACAAAGAACGATGATGATGGTGCTGATGAAAAAGCTGATGATGGTGGTGATGACGGTCATGAACCCAAACCCACTCGGCCAATCGAAGTAGGCTTGGCTCTGACAAGTGCGGGACACCCGGAAGAATTAAACATAACACCAAACAAACTCGAGGCCCAGAACCAACCGCCCCCAAAATGGAGCCCCTTATGCTACCCTGATTGAACAAAATTGCATGTATGGACCACCAGGGGTTAACCCACAATGTGGCAGTGCATTGAAACGCAACGTGTCAACCATCGACTCCACCAGGAGCACCAAATGCCACTGTCTATTCAAACGCAGCTAGGTCTTGACAGAGAAGTGCTTCGTAAAACAAGCATGGGTTGTAACTGGCTGCTGGGATACTGGGAACCTCATCAAAAC